GACCTTTATTTCGTCGTTAAAAACAATATGTGAAAAGTCCCCATTGACGTGACCCCTGCTAAAAATTTTACAGAGGGTCAAAGGTAAAGAAAAACAGTTTTTCGCGAATATTTCTTTATTCATTAGTCCTACGGCAAAAATAGTTATTACAAAATTTGTAGCTTATAAAATTCTCTACAAAAAATGTTGTATAAGTTTTTTTGTACAAACAATACTTTTCACGTAATAAATTTTGCAAGATATGCGCTGCGCGGTAAATTTACGGAGCGCGCTGACAGACGTCAAATAAATTGAAGCGTCGCACGCGCGCACTAAAAATCATATCTTTTGAACGAATCATCGTACAGAAATGATATATGTGTTGTTGCCATCATGAACGATGAATCATTCATTCTGTCATGTTGCAGACAACATAACGTACCAATATTGCGAACCGTTTGCTCTTGAAATTGCGTCAACTGATTGCATGTATAAGTAGTCATGTAGCTGTATTTGTAACGTGTTCTATTTCGATGTCAGCAAATTTACAGCAAATATATGAAAATACATGCAATGCATTAGTTTGCTCAATATATGCTCGATCACACTTGGCTATCTGGGATTACATTGCAATTTACAATGTTATTGTAACGTTCTTGCAATGTGATTGCAGGGTTCTGTGTTGTATGAAAAATTGTGTCTATACATATGATATACTAAAACCAGATATTTTTTAGTAAAAACTTGGGAGTTTTTAGAGGGTTAATTTTTTCGTTAATTTCGAATTAAAGTCAAAATTTACTTCAAAATATAAAATGGCGGAAATCAAAATCGCAAAAAGTCATTCGATTTACACCAGGTATTAAAGTTTCATTGAGTCGCTATAATTTTGAATATAAAATAAAAATATCAAAATTTAAAATGGCAGATCTAATATGACGGATTTAAATTGCAAAAAAATTAAAAATTAATTTTAAAAAATTGCAAATTAATACAAAGTTTGACGACTCTATATTTGTAATCAGCGATCGTAAAAACCTCGGAGTCATTTTCAAGTGACTAATAATGAGCCTATTTTTGCATATTTAATTCTACGTGTTGGATCTGCCATTTTAAATTTTGACTCCATATTCATCGTAATCAGCAACCCACTGTATACTAAGTTTCAAGGAATTCGTGTGTAAACAAAAAATGCTTTAAAGAGTTATATAAATTAGCTCCAGTCCTAACTTTGGACTTACAAACTGGTCACACACTCACACACTTTGACTTGCCATGAGACTTAGTTTAGTGGCAAGTTATAAAAATTCCACAAGAGCGTGTCAGAATTAATTTCATTAAATTTCAAGTCTGCGTCTCGTCCTCTTCTTTCCCTCTCTGTCTCTGCCGTCGAGTCTCTGGCTCATTCCACCATTGTATCTCGCCCTTGCCGAATATCACGAACACCAAGTTACCCAAGAAGTAAATCGCCGCTGAGACGTAGAACACGATGTTCCACTGATACACGCTACTCTGAAAAGCGAGAGATCTCTCCATAGGAACTTTCTCATTGTTCTTGTGTGTGTGTGTGTGCGTGCGTGCGTGCGTGTGTGTGAAGCAATTAAGATAGATAAAATAATAAAATAGATATAGTTAAATTATACGAGATAGAATTAAATAAAAATCCTCAGAAATAAGTATAGGTAAACTAGATTTACTACATGTAGATATTTCACACTTAGAAGGAAGAGAACGGATAATTACCTCGTCGGTGACGATAACGCCACATATCAACGGTGCGATAATAGAGGTAACAGTGGCAATGCAATTGGTGATGGACATCATAGTCCCGGCAAAGTTTGGACTGAGATCAATATGATTGATTTGGAAGCCGCATAAAGATCCAGCGTTCAGACTTACTGCCAGAACGAGGATGACAATGGCCCATACATAACCATCGGTAGGTACGGCACTCATACATGCCAGGGCGATAGCCGGACCCCAATGGGCTATCGTGTTGCAGATCTTTCTGACCGTACCCCTAGACGCACCTTTCTTCAACGCGAGGTCGGATAACCAGCTCATTGGGAAACTGAGGATCCACATAACTAAATATGGCAAGGCGGAAATTACACCACTCTGCAAAAAGAAATATATGCTGTAATTTATTTATTTATTTAAAGTACTATGTCTGAAATTGATTAAAAAAGAAATAATACGGATTAAAGAAAAAATAATTTCGAATAAATTATGAATATTAAATCACGTTACGGATATTAATAATGATGCAGTTAATAAATAAATTTCGCAAAATTCGTGAAACTCTAATATTAAAAAAATACTTTTTATTCTTTTTATTTGTTTTACTAAATTTTATTGCTTACAGCTTCGACTCTGAAATTTAACACGCCTGTCATGTAACTTGGTATTTCCGTCAATAGAGTCCAGTACCCCCAATTTTGTCCGGAGTGGACTATTATGAGAGCCCACATAGGTATCGAAGTAAAGATCTCTTTCCACGGTGTTTTCAGCTTCTAAAAGGTACAAAATCAGATTTTAAATATATATATATCTGTATTACTTTTTATAGCACTTTTATAAACTTAAGTCATTATATTTTTCATTCATAAAATATTTTTCGTCACAAATAACTGGTGTAAAGTAAAAATAATCTAAAAAATATGTTTAAATTTTAAATTACATTTAGACTTCAGCTTGTTAAAGGAGATGATGGCAGGATCTTACTTTTGTTATTATAACATTTCGTAATCCTTTCCTTTAGTTTTTCCTTTCCAGTTGTTAGTCAGAATTAATAATTTTTTGTTTATTTGTGTAGTAAATCCCATGTTTTAAATACTTTTTAACAAGACAAATAAGAGCGGGACGCCGCGCCGATGTTACAGCGAGTATAATACATAATTCGGTTTTCACATATTTAAAGCAATTGTTTGCGAATTAAAGCAATTGTTTATTTATTAACGAATTATTTAAAGTAGTATTCCGCTAATTCTTTTAAACTAAATTATATGTGCACATTGAGAAGAAAAACAAATATAATCTGTACGTAAACCCGAATTATTAGTTGTATCATTGAGATTTATGATAATGGATTTTTACCTGTTTGACTTCGTCATCGCTTTTCGCTTCAGTTGTCCTTAAACTTTCTTCTATGTACATCCTCTCCTCCTGGGAAATACTGCGATGATTGGATGGCGCGTCTGCTCCAAAATAAAAGAATACTACGCTCCAGATAATCGCTAATGCACCGAATATGTAAAAGATACTCGGCCAACCAACGCTCGATGCAGCGAGAACTCCAGCGATTGGCATTGTGATCACCGTGCCGAATTGGCCACCCGCATAAGCGAATGTTCCTGAAATGTAAAGTAGACTTGTTTAATTGCAAAGATATATTACCGCAATTAGATACAATTCGCTATAGGTAAGCGAAGCAACTAGTTGTTTTATGATAAAATTGTAAAATTTATTTCTTGCATCAAGTTTTACTAGTTTATCAATAATCTTTTAAAATTTCTAACAATACGGAGAGAAAGCAGGAGTAGGAGAAAAAAATATAGAACTCTATATGTGATTCCCAACCTTTTTTAGTCTAGCGCCAACTTCTAAGAATTGAATTGGTAATTAATTTTTAAAAAATAATCGACAAAAACGACCTTTCAATATTAACATAACAAATAAAATAAAAACGAATATTTGTGATCGTGCTACAGATATGTTCATGAGTTTTTAAAAGAAATTTGTAACAATAATGATTTGATCAGTTTCTTGAGTCACTGTATAAAATATGATATATGTAAAATTACATATCTTTATCGCAATTTTATTTTTTGTAAAAAAAACAATGTAAAATTATTTTTCTAATTTTTCAATTATTCTTCTTACTATTTTTCTTGTATATACGAATACAGATTGCAAAAAGAAAAAGAAAATATATATATGGACATACTTTATAGGTATATAATTATACATGAAAAGTTTATTCTCACTAATTTTCCTATACATCTTTGAATAAAGTCTTTAGCAATTTCTTTATTCAATAGTTATTTTCCATTAAATTTTAATTAAACGAAAGAACGTTGGCTTTTATTCAATAACTTTTATGTCGAGTATTTAAATTATTTTCTTTTACAAAACAACCGGCGAACTGGTTGTTTCCTGATACGATTGGAATGTACCGGGCGTAGATTCTGAATCTATTCTCACCCAGTCGTGCTCTTTCAGCAGGCGGAGCCCACTTAGAGAGAAGGGTTTGGATGCAAGGTAATAGGCAAGCCTGAGTGAGACCCATGCCTACCCTGCAAACTAGGACGGCTTCCAGACCTCCATAATGAGCGGCAATCGGCGTTAAGACTTTCAAAACCCCGCAGACTAGCATCCCGATGGCAAGAAGCTTCTGGCTGCTCCAGACATTGGCGATGTAGCCGCTCGGCACCTGCGTCACCACGTAGCCCCAGAAAAACGAGCTGAGCACCAAATCCTTTTGCTGCTTAGTCCAACCGTAATCCTGACAATGTAATCAATATGACTTTCGAGTGATTTTAAACCTCAGTGAGCCTATAGTGAAAATTATGCAATATTATTCAAAATATTACACTGTAGATATTTAGGCATCTAAAATAATGTTTAGTTATTTTTATATCTTATTATGTGTACATACGTATACTCTTTAAATCTCATAGAGTGGTTTCGCCACTAATAAATTAGAGTCATTGCGATAGTTCAAAAAAGAAGGCTGCCATTCTAATTTGAGTAAATGCGGACACTCATAATTTTTCACTCAAATTTTTAGAGCGGCTACTCTACCGGATTAATACAATCTCACTCTAAAGCTATATAGTAGTGAATCACGATTCACCTAAGGATCGACTGATAAATGATTCTAACCGAATAAAATTGTCCACTAAAAATTACAGAGTGACATAAATCATTCTTATGGACACGTACTGATTTACTGCACTTGAAAAAAAATGTCCTTTCACTCAAGTGGAGTGTGATTTCACTCTAAGGGTCGATTCAGACACAGCCGTGCCGTATCCGTACCGTGCACGAAACAGAAACATCAGACAAGGATGGAGACAACATTAGACAAGGATGAAGACAATAGGTATCCTTGTCTGATGTTCTGTTTCGTGTACGGATACGTCACGGCTGTGTCTGAATCGACCCTAACTTATAGAGCGCAATTTTATTCTTTTTGAAGTGGCGAATCACTCAAAGTGCACAGGCTCAATTTTCACTTTACGATACACTTGCATTTCACTCGTTTTGAGTGACATTTCATTTTTTTAGAGAGTATAATATATATGTTATATAAAATAAAATTAAAATCAAAACATCAATGCGCACGTAACAAAAATAATATATCTAAACTTATCTTAAAACTAATTATTTTAGAACTTCCGTTTTTGCTCGGTGCAGAAATAATTATACAATATGTATATCATTTTAACAAATTTTACTTAAATGTGTGCGTGTTATTTTTTAATAGATAATACTTAATAAATTTTAATAATAATCACTAAATGCAGTCCTTAAGCTTTCATGATCTTCAGCATAAACAAGAATTCAAACGTGTTATAAATAAATCCGTGAAGTATATATCACGATAATCGGAAAAACAATAACGGCGATTACATGATCCGGTAATTCATTATCTGTCAATCCTTTATTATTGGCCTTGTAAAGACAATGGTAGCCGTTATCTGCTCACTCGAGATCTGTACATTTATGCGGCAAGACGTCGCGTCGCACAGGAGTGAATGTATCAGCTTTGCTATATAATATATTCTACGGAGGGTCAATGTAAAGAAGAAAGAGCCTCGCCAACTGCAGCGAGATTTATCCGGTTACCGCGATAATCTCGCGCTCGAAGAGGAAAAGCATTTCATCGCCAACCTCGATCAGATGCACTTTACTCTTATACAATCGAAGAAAATTTCCTTCCTCCGACACAGATTCCAGAACGGTGATCGGCGCGATCGCGAGAATCATGGGACATTCTGCGACTGGTAAAAAAACCGACTTATACTGACGTAAGCAGTTACGCTCGATCGGGCAAATTTAATAAAATTCAAATATCTCTTCAACTGCATATACAACTCGATATAAAAGTTTGCATCGACGACAAATCAACTATGAAGTTCGGCATCTTGAACGTAAAATTTAATATCACACATGAAGTGCTTAAAAGAATACGTCAAAAATATTTCCATCATTGTAAGTGCGTTGTTATTTACAGCATGACATACTTACAAAAATCAGAAATTCCTGATCGGTCAAATTCAACATTTTCACCCAGAGATGTAAAGTCGCGCACAAAGTTTATATCGTTAAATTAAATTAATCTATATATATAAAGGAAGATGTCCTGACTGACTGACTCATCAACGTCCAGCCCAAACCCCTGAACCGAATTTTTACCAAAAGTATATGAAATAGAAGTAGAATTTTCCGGGGAGTGTCACTATGTGTATAGTTTTTTGTTACCAATTTTCTGGAAACCGGTTTTTCTAATTCTTCGGGAAATAATTGATTGAATCTTAAAGAATTATACATGAAGTAGAAGTAGAATTTCCCGGGGAGTGCTATAAAGTGTACTATTTTTTGTTACCAATTTTTTTGGAAACCGGTTTCGAATGACCAAATCTCAAAGAATTGTACATAAAGTAGGGGTTGAACTTCCCGGGGAGTGCTATAAAGTATATAATTTTTCGTTACTGATCTTTTTGGAAACCGGTATCTTTTTAAAAATCGGTTACAAAATTTTTCCAATTTTTCAGAAAATAATTGAGTGAATGTTAAAGAATTGTATACGACGGAATTGAATTTCAGTCGATAAAAAAGTAATATTTTTAAATTTATAGCATTTTAGAGAGAGAGAGAGAGAGAGAGAGAGAGAGAGAGAGAGAGAGACTATTTGTGTGTCTTATTACATATGTTCTCCGGGGGTAACCAGGTAGTATATTAATAAATCTAATAAATAATCTAATAAATAGTGCGAATGACTGCAAATATGTATGTGAGAAAATAGGAAAGGATATTCTATACACAGGGTTTCTCTAAGCAACAGCAATGAGTTCATCGAGTTGTCGTTATATAACGTAGCATGCTCTGTACGCTTATCTGACAATCGCTAGAACGTAATCTCGAGTGTTTCAAATTGGCCGAGCGTTGGTGTTTGAGTCATCGGTTTCAAGCCGATGAAAAGATGTAATTACGTGATTTACCTCGATGTCCGGATTCGCGGTGCTCGCGTTCGCCATCGGTACTATGGCCACTGACATTCCGGTCCTAAGACTATATCCGATGGTCATGCCCAGGAAGAGCAGCAGCACCTGCAGGTGCCTGATCCCGAAGATACCTGTGAGAACATCGTTCTTTTATTCTATATATTAGTAACGAACGAAAATTGCTTAATAATCTTAATATTTATATCCACAAATTGATATACATATTTATTTTTGGAACTTTTGAGAATGTTTCGTTATTCAAGTGTCTAAATTTGATAATAATTATTATAGATATAATCTTTAGGAACAATAAAAGTCTCTCACTCAAAATATATATTTATTGTATTCAAAGAAAAAATAAGTTGTACTCGATGCTTATCGTTTACAAGTTTTTTTGGTTTTTCGGACAAAATTCAAGAATTTTCGACGAACGAAGGAAAGCCGATCGGAACATTGATCAATACAAACGAAAGCACATTGTTTTCGCTCAATATAAAAAGGATGATAGATAAAGTAATCTGATTTTGGCCCCGTTGAGATGGAACCTTTCTTATATATATTATAT